TCTTCGAGCAAAAACATCAGTCTATGTAGCAGACATAGGTGGGTATCTGTTGATGAAAATACTCTGGTCTTACTAAAGACTAAAAGCCAGACTTTTCAAAGTCGTGACTCACAGGAAGAAAGATTTTTGATAGATAGATGGATAGAGAAATAGATGACAGTATTTGTCAATAGTTCAAGTTATATGGATCCCAGCTCTACTACCTCCCCGATTTGTCTGTAATAAATCAATGAGATGACTTGCAAAGTTGAAATGATTGCTCTTGACAAAATTTACAGCTTTTACTCATAGAAGTCACTTTTTTTTTTTTCTTTTGGAGATGGAGTTTCGCTCTTGCTGCCCAGGCTGGAGTGCAATGGCGTGATCCTGGCTCAACACAACCTCTGCAATTCTCCTGCCTCAGCCTTCCAAGTAGCTGGGATTACAGGCATGTGCCACCACACCTGGCTAATTTTGTGTTTTTAGTAGAGACAGGGCTTCTCCATGTTGATCAGGCTGGTCTTGAACTCCTGATCTCAGGTAATGTGCCTGCCTTGGCCTCCCAAAGTGCTCAAGTTACAGGTGTGAGCCACTGCGCCCGGCCAGAAGTCACTTTTTTTTTGAGACAGGGTCTGGCTCTGTTGTCCAGGCTGAAGTGCAGTGGCACGATCGCAGCTCACTATAACCTCTGCCTCCTGGGCTCAAGCCACTCTCACACTGCAGCCTCTCGAATAGCTGGAACTACAGGTGCATGCCACCATGCCTGGCTAATTTTTGTATTTTTTTGTAGAGATGGGATTTCACCATGTTACCCAGGCTGGGTCTTGAACTCTGGAGCTCAAGCTATCTACCTGCCTCTGCCTCCTCAAGTGCTAGAATTACAAGCATGCCATGCCAGAAGTCACTTTTATTAAAGAAAAATATATACAAACCATGCCTTCTTAGTGTAAATGGCATCATGATGGACTAGTGAAGATGCTATAGTCATTTCCACATTTGCCTTTCTAACAAATAAAGACTGGTTTAAGCAGATAATCTGTTAATATCTCTTTATGAAGCCCTCTCTCCTCCTCACGATGTTTGACAAGCCTTCGAGTGACTGCTGGTATCCACGTTTCCACTCACTAGTGGTAGAAGATAAGGGAATGAGGGTGGTACTTTAACAAAGGGACAGTGCTAAAAATAGTCCAAATCCATTCTGTCAAGGTGACTACATTATCAAAATTTATTTTTTCTTCATTTTAGAGCTCTGCCTTCCATGCCTTTCTGACATCCCGTAGCACAATATGGAACATGGAAACTGACTTGTTAGCAGGTCCATAAACAGCAGTTAGTACTACAAACAACTGAGGGTAGCTCAGGGACTCTACTGTAGTTACACAGGTAGAAAAAGACATGGACAATGGTAAAGTTTTTCTACATCTTAATTTATTTCATTAAAAAGCTTTATACAATACATGCATGTATGCATGTATGCATGCATGCACATACATGTGCGCGTGCACACACACACACACACACCCCTCAAGCACCTGGCTTAAGAAATAATATGTTATTGATAACTTAAAAATCTCTGTGTACCCCTCCTTCATCTTACCTCCAAACTGCATCTCTAGAGGTAACCACCATCTGATTTTCTTTTTATCATTCTTTGAAATTTCTTTGGAGTTTTACTACATATTTTTTTCCCCAAATAATGTATTGCTTAGTTTTACATTTTTGAACTTTATACAAATGTATGTATTTTAGGTGACTTGATGTTTATCTCTCACAATGAGGTGTCTGTGACTCGTTTCATGAGCACTTTCTCCGCTCTGGAAAATTTCATAAGGTGAAGAGATCACCATTTAGGTAGATGGGCCATTTGTGACATTTCTACTTTCTATGTCATTGTAAAAGATGCTGCTACAAAAATTCTTCTACATATCAAATTGTATGTACGTGTAATAGTTTATCCAGATGAAAGTGAAGTTTTAGAATATGTGCATTTTCAGCAATACAGGTATTTTCAGATTATAATCTAAAGTGAGCATATCAATTGATAATTCCACCAGCAAAGCATGGAGCTTCCTGATATTCCACCTCTCATTAACACTTGACATGCTCAAAATGGTCACTTACACAGAAAATGAATCCTGGCTGACTGACCACATACATTCACTACAGAATCACATAGTGCTTCTGAGAGTCAGACCTTGAGTAATAGTTACTTAAAATAAAGTGGCCCCATCTGAAGGCTAGAAAAAGACAGTGTTTGTATTCATAAGATGGCAAGCAGAAGTTTTAAAAATAATTCTGTTGATGCTTACAATTTAGACCTCCATTTTTCTGGTAAGAAATTTCCCAATAATGTTCTGAACATCATGTCAAAACATTTGTGTCAAACTGCTGTGTTCTGCCAAAGAGGTACATTTTCCAGTCAAAGCAATTAATTAGAAGATATTCATGATGTCTTTCAAGATTAAGAAGTCATCATAAGTGTAGAGAGAAACTGAAGGGAAAAGAAAATCACCGAAATCAGGATGCAGGAGACAAGCTAGTTTGTTGATCTCCATTTGAGAATTTTGCTCTTCTGTCATCATTTCTCCAACTCTAAATCACTCAATTAATAGACCATAAAGAGGCTTCAGGTCTATGAAGGGCTTAAATCTCAAACACAATTCTTGCTTCTCTTTTTAATATATTTAGTCTTTGTGATTCTTTATTCTTATTACAAAAATACTTTGGGTGCTGAAAATCATCATAGTATCAGTAGATCACAAATTGCTAGTTTAGTCAGCTCTAGACCATCTTGTAATCATTAGGTAAGGAAGTTCATTAGTAAAATACTTAAATTCCTGAGACATAAATTATTTGCAAAAACATTTCTCAACTTCTTTCAAACCAAGACTATATATACATACACCATATCTATCTATCTATCTATCTATCTATCTATCTATCTATCTATCTATCCATCCATCCTTCTATCTGTCTATCCATCTCCAAAAGGCAGTGCCCAAATGTCAGGATGGGGCTTATAATTTTAACTGACTAGGGATTGTTGGTCCTGAAGGGATCAGTGGGAGACAGAATACAGTGTTAGAAGATGCATTTCTCACCAGTTCTAGAGAAAAAGGTCATACTCTACTGACGGTTGGCTCATGAGGTCATCCTTCCCCAGAAGGAAGAGCATGTTAGACTTTGGTCAACAAAGACTTCAATTGAGACAGTCAGAGAGTGACCAAGGGGATATACCATCTCTGGGCAGTTGTGAATGCCACTCTGTGAAAAACAGGAGGGAGAGCCAGCAGCAGCCTCCCTCATGGCTTTGTAGACACTTCGCTAGAAAATATTCTGTTATCTCACTGGAAACTTGCCAGATCATAATACACACATCTAAACATTATTAACACTCAATTAGAATAAATACACATAATCAGGAATATATCCATCCATACTTTGAATTTCTTAAATTCATATTTCTCAAAGGCTGGCTACATATTTCATCCTTCAAAAAAAATCAAAAGCTTCAGCTTGCAGCCTCTGTAACTAAGCCTATTATTGAGTTTTACTTATTAAATTAATTTACACTTATTTTACAACAAACTGCATCTACTCAAGGAAATATGGAATGCATATTCATTTTCTATACTTATTCTTATTTTACTGACAGTCCTCAGGTGATATATTTCCTCTTGCTATTCTACCTAGCTAATTCCTTATAAATTCCTTTTTGGGGCTCTAGTTTCTTTAGTATCTAAACCATTGTTGAGATTCAATGTAAAGATATTATTTTAAACATTAGAATCATATGCCCTTTATATTGTTAAATAAGCCCTTGTAAATTATTTCCTTCAGTGCCTTCCTGCAAATAACCTGTCTGTATGCTCAAATAAATGTTTAGGAAATTAACAATTGAAAATGGGTTATTATGGATTTTACTGACAGTTCAATAGAGAAACATTTTTAAGGGTACACACAATCTTTATGCTTGGATGTAAATATTGAGGAGATCAAAGTGTCAAAAAAAAAAAAGCAGCATTGCAGGACAGTACCAATAGTTAAGAAAAATACTGTGGCTCTTTTGCACAGCCCTGCAATAGAAAGTAGTGTTTGGGAATAATCCTTGTACAAATATACCTTCTTTGAGTGACATAATAATACCAGATTCCTGTTACGTATTATTTTTAACTTTACTTCTTTAAGTAATTATCTTTCATTTTATTTGTAGGACTGACCTCACAAGTGCCTTAAACGTCAAGAAAGAACTTAAACAAAAGCAGACATCCTCTACCCAGGAAATATTCAATGTTTAAGTAGTGGAATGTAGAATTATCCCTTACATCCAAGGTATAGAGATGTTATCCTCAAGAAAGGCCCAAAAGTAGATTCATGATTGATCATATTCATAAGCCCAAGGCAATGCATGGTATGAAATTACAAAGATAAGAGGTAACAAAAGAAATTCTCTGCAAGAATCTATACTTGGTATTCACTAGTGCTTCCTGATCCAGTAATACAGGTGTCAGCAAAGGGCTCTTCTTTTACCATGAAGGAATTAGGCCACATTGACACGTGATGATAAAGAAGAAGTGCCAGGTGCTGATGTCCTGAACAATAACTTGTCTCTACTCGCAGGTCCATGAAGACTGTCATCTTGACTCCCTAGAGGATTATAACCTCTAAATGGATTGTTTCATGAGTATTTATCATCCTTAAAACCCTCATCAGAAATACCAAATGATCATAGTTGCAACGCGCCTGCTTTTGCACCATTGATACTAAAATCTTCTCTGCTTTACTGTTGACAAGTATTAACATTAATTTTCCAACTACATAGAAAGGTTTAAAATCCTGTCTTTTCTCACACAAAGCAAGGAAAAGAAAGCCAGAATTATGCTTTGATATTTAGCTGATTTCTCTAAGAGCAAGGACCACCAATTAAGAATTTTTACTTTGATTTTTTTTTGTAAACATTGGTTTTAAAAAACAGAGTAAATAAGGAAGACCAACTAGAAAGACAGCACATTTTCAATTACCTTGGAAACTCGGTTTGCAACTTCTCTGCCCACAGTCAGCCCCTGGACAAAGGTCCTGGCAGCAATGAAGGCGCGGGTGACCTGAATCTTCAGTTTCCGGGGCACGTCTCCAAATGGCTTGAGCTGGTCAGTGTATTTGCTCACGCATTCCAGGTAGTCTTCACTGAAGTGATACTGAGGGTTTATCAGCTGAAACATTCGTTCCAGGAGCCGAGCCCAAAAGTCATTGAGCATTTCTTCCAGATTCACATTACCGCCAGTGTAGTATCTTTTCAGCTCTGTGAAGAGGTCCTGAAAGACTTCCGAATTCTGCATGTACAGCATGCCATAAGTCCGTACAAACATATCATTTAGTGACTTTTCTGCATTCTCCAGGAGCTCTCGGAAAAATTCTGCAGATAGAAAGAAGTCATAAATTAATGAAATCTAGAAAGCCCAAGGCACCTACTTACCTTAAGTACAACTGCTTTTAATCGACATTTTCATGGAAAAACATATTCTGTGATTAAGGTGTTAATGGACAGATAAAAATCATATTCTCAATGGGATTTGACCTCCATCTATGATCCTGTATGACTCAAAACAGAATACCCATGATTTCCATTAACATTAGGAGTCTGCCATGTAATCCTCTTCCAAAATAGCTCCATTCTTTTACCATTTCTTGTTAAATTTTAAATAATCCTATGGTTTGATACAAACTCAAATCAAAATATGCTATAAATATAATGTGCAGAGTATTGTTGTTTACATAATGATAAACACATTTGCTTCAGTTTATTTATAAATTTGTCCTAACACTAAATTCCATTAAATTGCTTTTATTTGAAATACTCCATAAATGAGATGTTCAAATTAATGTCATATTTTAGACTCTTTCTAGTTTCTATATATAGCAATCAATTAGCAATGTTCAGATATTCATAATGCAATTAAATTCACTTCATAATAAAGCTATAATGAGCATAATTTAGGTGGCCATAATGAGTCAGAAAGCCATAAAGTATCTTGGATCATCATTACAAATATAAACCATCATGTTATAGAACTTGAATAAAATATTGACAGTTGGACTTTCTGGTTGTGAGGTTCTAAATAAAAAAAATGCACACCAATAATTCAAATCTTCCACTTTGCAAGAGTGCTTGAATGTTACTGGGATCATTTATAGGATGCAAAAAAATAAGACATAAATTAAAGCCATTGGGTATCATTAGCTTCACTAGGCTCCCTCAAGACACACTTCGTGTGTGTAGGGCACCTATCCTTTTGCACAAATAAGCTTGGGTTTTATCTCATTTAGAGATTGTAAACTGGGGTAGGGAAAGAGCTAAGGAAAGATAATGCTTCTGAGGTTATCAATCTAAGTTCCTAAGAGCAAAATGATTCTGCTTTATCTCTTCATAGTCCCCTTTTATTCCCTGAAACTATGCCCCTTCTCAGAAATGCAGGGACAAATCAAGTCCTGCATACTTCAAAAGCTCCAGGAATTTTTAAAAAGGACTCTGCTCCTTTCTGGGGTTCTGGGTAGTCTCTCCTAAGATAAAGAAAGGAAATAGTGATGAACACCTCTCCATTAATTCCATGGAGGCTACTTGTGTATTCTTAAAAGTTGGCTGAAGAAGTGCTTGGTTTAGCCACTTCAATTCTGATTAATATACAATCAAACCAATGTCCTGATAATTAAATGGTGTCTATAATAATAATAATAAGTACTTTATATTTGTTTTTAAATCAAACCAAAGCATGAATGAAAGTACTTTTCATTTGTTTACCTCCTTTCTATGAAATATATATACATATATATTTTAAAACATACAACTTCTGTTGCTACAGTGGCAGCAAAAACTGTAAGATTATAAATAGTGTGTAATTTTGTTCAGGTCACCAAATGGTTTTTATTTTTATTTTTACTAACTGTAAAATCAAGGTAAATATTATCAAATCTCTCTGAATCTTTAAGGATTTGGTAAAGAAAATGACTGTTGAAGTAGATAGAGCAACATTTGCAAAATTGGGAAGCATAAATTTATAAAAATATTTATATATGCTGTATGCTGATGTTACTTATGATTTTAGGAAATCAAGAGCATTTCATACTTTTTTCAAAAATACTAGTTATCTAGTTTGTCCTAAAATGGAAACTATATTAAATTACTAATATAAAAGTATGAGAATATCATAAGTTAAACCTTCCGATCTGGAAACTAAGAATGAAAGTAGCTTGACCTTGCTGATACAGGAACAGGGTGGAAGGCATAACAGATTGTGAAAGAAGATAAAAAAGAATGGAAAAATCACTGAATTGAGAAATACTAATATAATGAGACTGGAAAGTGGATTCTAATCATGAGCTCTGGACAGCCTATTCATTTATCTTCTTTTTGAGGTCAATTATTTTGTTGGACTTGGGAATTAAAGCTTAATTTATTGAATACAGAGTACTGCCTTCAGCAATGAATAGTCAGTAATCAATAGTGTGGTCTGGATTTGCAAAGAGCTTTAAAAAAAGAGAAAGAGAAGAAAAAAATTTCTCTGATACTCATTGCTCTCCAAAGTCTTGAGAAATAAATATTTGTGTTAGGGATAAAAATGGCATTTTCTCTTTTACTGAGGGTAACACCTCCCTAGATTTTTTTGTCTTCTTTTTCTTCTCCTGATATGAGAACTCCAAATATTGAGTCATGCCCACTTTGAAAGTGAGTCGTCATTGTGTCTTGTGGTTTTTCTTACGTTTAAATTAGTATTTATGATTCAGTATAGAAACCAAGTTATCACATTTCAATAAATGTGGCTCAAGAAACATTTCCATAGATTCCAAGCTTACATTGTGTCTTAGAGTATGTCATTGTCTCAAAAGTTTGATATTAGCTTCACTGATCCTCAAAGTCAAGTTATTATTATTTCTTGTTCAAAATCATTATATGGTTTACTGATTTCATAGTCAAAGTTAATATTTGGTATTGAAAGACGCTAATGTATCAGCCAATTATGATAAATGTTGCTACCTTAAGGTACATTGATCTAAGATCTTATGAATAATGGAGATCCAAGGTACTGAGGCAAAGCTAATGTCCTCCAAAAATAAGGGTATTCATTTCATTTTCAGCATGACTGTAGACTTCCACCTTTTGAAGTCTGACTCTTTGAACAAATTACTTTATGCTTGGATGAAAATTGTTTCTCAGCAAACCAAACAAGATGGAGATTTAGAAGACAGTTATGTGATCCATTTTACTGATGAAGTATCATGTGCAAGCAACATCAGAGAGAACAAAATTCAAGGACAATATAAGAAAAAGCAATCTCAACTGAATTCATTTTAATGGAAGAGGGCAAAGCACACATTGGATAAAGTCTTCAGTCAACAAAAATTTTTATCTGCAAAAAAGAGTTTGGCAGAAAGAAATGCTATTTGATTTTTCCTTCTTCCCCAATCACAAAATATACATCAAAGGTGGTTGCTTAGGGCTCAGTTACGCTTCATAGGTGCACAAAAAACCTTTCCTAGCCAGCATTAGCCTCTGGGATGATTTTATTCATCTAGAGGGGAGATCTCAATGTAAACATCTGTTTGCTTCAGGGCAGACTGTCTCAAGTGGGAGAACAGTCTTGTAGATAAAAACCACCACGGTTGCAAAAGGAAAAAGAAAGTCTGTGTGATGTGGCCTGATCTCTTGGAGAGATCTCTTAAGGGGCAGAAACCAACCCCAAGGAGCCAAGAGGTGCCCTAAGGATAACTGAGAAAGACTCCAAATGAAGCCCCCAAATAAATGGACTGAAAAGTAAGATGGCACAGAGGGACAAGGGGAAGCACAGAAAGAGGAAAAAGGCAGACGAGAGGCTCTCTACAGTCTACATCACACAACAAAAGCTTGTCCCATTCAACTCAGAAATGTCTTGTTAATACTACACAGATTAGGTACCTAATCTGTGCTGGATTAGGTATGGGATTGGATTAAGTACTATATAACATCCTTTTCCTCTTTTCATGCTCTCAGAGACATCTCCTATTAAAAACTTCTTTAAAATGAATGTCGCAGCATGGTGGTGTGTATCTATATCCTTTCAGAACCCAAGGAGTGAAAAGCTTTGGTCATTAGTCAGTCAAGATGATAGCACTTGTCCTACTGTGGGAAGCAGGTATGCTGTTTCCTTCCGTAAACCCGGAAATACACACGTGCATGCAAGGGTGTACATTTGTATAGTTCTCTGCTAATCTCTTTGTTTCTACTCTTCCTCAACAACAGTATGCTAAATCAGTTTAGTCAGCTCAGCCAAACTGTGGGTAAGGAGTATTCCATAGGCGGCGCTGACATGGAGGATAAAATGGTTCTGAAAGCTGACATCCAGCCGGGTGCAGTGGCTCACGCCTGTAATCCCAGCACTTTGGGAGGTCGAGATGGGCAGATCACCTGAGGACAGGAGTTCGAGACCAGCCTGGAAAACATGGTGAAACCCTGTCTCCACTACAAATACAAAAGTTAGTCTGGCATGGTGGCGGGCATCTGTAGTCCCCAGCTACTCAGGAGGCTGAGGCAGGAAAATCACCTGAACCCAGGAAGTGGAGGTTGCAGTGAGCTGAGATCCTGCTGCTGCACTTCAGCCTGCGGAACAAAGCAAGATCCAATCCCCCCCAAAATAATAATAATAACAATGAAAATTATAAAATAAAAAAGTAAAAGATGAAAGCTGACATCCTATAAGGGTTGTGATCCACAGACACTCAATAAACTTCCTAGCCTGCTTATCCTCCTGCATTTCTCAAGGTGAAATGAGGAGTATTCTTTCTCATTCCACACACATATGTCAGCTTTCAGACATATCTTTTGAAATCATTTCTCCTTTCGAAAAGCATCTTGCTTATGTAATAGCCTGATATAATCTGCAGGAAAATGCTGAATTAATAAAGAGCATTAATGAAGGCAGACCCATAGTGCCATTTATACTCTTGTGCATTAGACTGTAGGGGAGGGAAAACATGGTCCCAAATGGCCTATCTCTTCCCACTTTCCAGGGGCTGGGACCTTGAAAGTAAGTAGCAGTAAAGATGGGCAATGCTCAGGATGTCTGTCCTTGCCACATGAGGCGGTGTCCTTTGCAAGCTGTAGCTTGTGTGTTATTGAGCAGTAGATGACCCTAGTCTATCTCAGGTGTCAGCTTCAGCACTGTGAATATTTTGAGCTGGATAATTCTTTCTTTGGACAGGGGTTTGGGGAGCACTGTGCTGTATATTGTAAATTATAAAGTAGCATTCCTGGCCTCTACCTTTTAGATGCCAGTGGCACATCCTTCTCTCAGTAGTCACAACCAAAATGTCATCGAACATTATCAAATGTCCTCTTGGGGACGAGACCACTCTTACTCCCTTCCTTACCCCCACCTGCTGAGA